CAATGAGAATATTTCATTCATTCAGATCTAGGATGTGTTATTTGAGTGTTCCTTTTATTTTTTTGAGCAGTGTATATATATGTGCAAGTGTAACTGGCAGGAGATCCAAATAAAAATAAAAATAAAAATCTAGAATAAATACACAAATAATAATGAGTTATTACTAAAATACATACAACAGGCACTATGAAAGTTTTCTGTTTCAGCACAATATAAAAACACGCTCCTCTGAAGTCGCTGTTTTACTGACTCAACCTTTCTTATTTAAAAGACATTTTGGTTTTAGTGAGATATAAATCTCGTTATAGCAAAAACGATTTCTCATCTAAACCTCATCTGCTCCTGCATTTATTTCCAACCTCTGGCAGTGAAGTGCTTCTGCCGTGTCACATGATGTTCGGTTGATGTTTATTGTGGATCCTGCAGCTGAATCAGCATCTTAAATGGTTACTAAAGAGTTTAAAAATTACAACTTTTATTCACAGGAAATTGCAACTCTTAAGGATATGGATCCTTCACGAAAATGTTATTAAGTTGGAGATGTTTTTTTGTTTTTTTTTTCTTATGAGAACCGTTCAGCTACAAGCGCCATTTCAGGTTTATGCATATGCAGCATCACAGTACCCACCTGAACCTGAACCATCAATACAAACTGCAAATTCTACAAGGCTTCATATTTTATTTAATGTAAGTGTAAAATGGAAGAAATGTAGAAATTTGACTCATAAAAGTCCATAAAGCAAACTGTGGTTTTAAGGTTTTGCCTGATTTATATAAAATGTTTTATTTTAAACATATTTTGTTAAAAGTCCAAGTAGAAAGCAGATTTTTGCTCATCTCTTATTACACGTGTAATCTACATAATGCTGTTTAACTTTCACCTGTGTTTGATGATGAGATCTTCACTGGCCAATCTGCGCAGATCTGGGAAAAAAAAAAAAAAAAACAGCAAATAAATAAACACACAATTTCTTGTCTTGTCTTGTCTCCAGCAGGGATCACACAGTCAATATTTTTAGAAAAGTCACCTTTAGCCTTGCTGTGGTGAGGTGACAGTTGACCCGCGCTGCTGTGGCGTCTGAACAGGAAAACAACTGCAATCATCAGAAGACACCACAAGAGGGCGCCAACGCTGCCGATCAGAACTGGGTCCTGGAGGAGGGCCAGCACAGGAGACGCATCCTGTTTGTGGGTGTCTGGCTCTGTGGCGTCCCCTAGCTGTGGTTCTGAGTAAAAACAGACATTCTGGGTGGTCAGATACGGCGGGAACATGACGGAGAAATGAGTTGAAAAAGGCTGCTGGTCTCACTGGTGACAAATCCATGAGGATCACTGAGCGTCCCCACTCCAGCACCGTTCACCGCTGCCATGGTTACCCAGTACTGCTTCCCTGGTTCCAGTGTGGAGACATCCAGGCTGTGTTGGCCGCTGTCCACTGTCCAGTTCTGGTACTGCTGCTCGTCAGACTCCATGCACCAAACCTAAAGGAGCAGTTCGCACATTTATGAGAAGAAGCTCGTGGTCTCAAAAACACGACTAAAATGATTTAGAATGATTCTCATGTGAAACTGCGGAGCAGAACGTTTTCTAACAAACCCGTTTGGATTGGGATCAGCAGTGAACTCCGGAAAAAGCCCACTCCTGGGAAGGAAGGGGGGAAAAAAAGCAGACAGCAAGGAGGGATAAAAGGACAGAAGGAAACAAAGAACAAAGTAACTACAGAGAAAAGAATGACAGGAAGGAAGGAAGAAACAAAGAAACTAATGACGGAAAGAAGAAAGGAAGATTAAGAGGAAGTAGGTAGGGCAGTGAGGAAGAAAGAAATGACATGTGATGGTAAAAAAGAAGAATAGTCCTCAGCTGATAGCCCAATTGTTGATGGGTTATCAGACAGGGAGGTGGTCACCTGGTAGCCCTGGATGACACCATTGTGGCTGTCGGGAGGAGGAGGCTCCCAGCTCAGGTGGACGGTGTTGTTCTGCTCGTGGTCCACCGTGATGGACACGGCCAGAGGGGGCGCGCTGGGCGCTGCATGAAAAGCGGCGATATATTCCCCCTGAGTTAGTTTGACTGGTGGCTTAAAGCGGAGGAAGAGATGCAGGTGAGGCCTTCTGAAGCCAGCCTACCCTCACCTCTCTCAGGGACTCGGAGATGCCGGGTGTTGCTCTCCCTTCCGTACAGGCTGCTCCCGTAGGGACGAACCTTGAACTCGTACTTGTAGCCCCTCTTAAGGGGGCCGACCTGAGCCTGGAAGCCCGGCAGCGAGACCCTCAGCGCTGCCCAGTCTGAGCTGACAGGCAGCAGGGGGCGATAGAGAACCTCAAAGCCGTTGAGGTAGTGCGGCTGAGCTGGAAGGGACTGAAGCTGGTCACGGGAAACACCAAATGCAGATCAAACACTCAGACACTCCACCCACAAAGCTGTAAAACAGGACTCTCATACCTTCCACTGCACGAGGGAAACGTTGGACTCCGAGGCGATGATGGTGACATTCTCCAGGGTCACTCGTAAGGCTGACAGCTCTCTGTGGAAGTCTTTCTGCTCAGTGCTGGGAGCCTCTGCACCAGCAAATGTTTCACATTAACTTTTATTAGAAAGCGTCAAGTCGTCCCCAGTGGAAACACGACAGTTAACTTTAAAGGACGAAGCAGACGTCGCAACGTAGCCCATCGTTTGGGCCGTAGAAGGTCATTTCTACTAGGCCATGTCGCGGCGTGGCTTACTAAATCAGATGGATCTCACTGAAACGTTTGTTCCAAGGGAACCATTTTTCATGGGCTAGATGGAAATAAATAACTAATCGTGTCAAAATATTAGCCTGACTATAGCAAAAGAAAATGCACTGCTGCGTAGTCAAATAGCAGCCGCCTGCCTCTCGCCTAATGACTGCGGGGCATAGGCACCAGGCCAGATGGACAGACAGATGGAAGGATGGATGCAACCGCAGTATTCTAGCAACTAATATAATTGTGCTGTGTCATATAGCGCTGCATTTGGTGCAATAGGCTTATTTTGACTGAAGTGTGAACGCTGTGCCAGTGCATTTGCAGCCTGTCAAATAAACAAGTAAATGGATTAGTACGCGACTACATGCCAGGTTGTTAAATGTGTTTTATCACAGTGCAATTAAAACAAGAAATAATTGAAAATAAAAAGCCTCATAAATACTGTAAATCTATAGATTTTATGTGTACTGTGTCTCCTTTCCTCACGATCACATTACATCAGCCGTTAGCTTGAAGAAACAGACGTAGAGCTGGAATGGCGCCGTCGTGTCAGCTTGAAATGTGCAGTATGCAGATTGGTCTAGAGGAGGCGCTGTTCTGCGCAAATGAACTGTAAACTTGTGAACAGATCATTTTGCTATACCGATCCTAGATATTCACTCAAATGAACAGTTGTTCCCGTCACTATTGCATGATAATCTGGTTTATTTTGTTGCATTGTATGTCCTGCAAGCTAATAGCATGAGGGTGATTCATGTTTATCTGCACTGCAGAACACAAGTTAGCTTTCAAAGCACCGGCTCTCTGTTAGCATGCAACATGTCTGCTGTGAATTTATTACTATGAAGGAATAACAACTGCTTCTGGGAAGTTTGTCTGTTTTTGCAGACATTTTCCAACATAAAGCAAGTTGCAAAATAATTGTAAAAAGAGAACGAAAACTCGCCTTCAACTTGAAGTTGTGCAACTGCAGCGACGACTCCGACGTGATTCGCAGCTGTGCAGGTGTAGCTCCCAGCATCCTGCACCGTCACATAATGGAGCTGCAGAGTCTGGTCCGGGTTTATGAGATACCTGGAAACAAACAGCGAGCAGCGGGAAGAATCGACGGGTCTGGTGTCACTACCAAAGCTTGGTCAAAACCTAAGCAGGTACGTCGAGCTGAAATGTTCCTCAGCAACAATTCACAGTTCACCTGTCTGAGGATGTCTCTGTTTCAAACGTAAAAAGCCTGAGCTGATAGTTTCCATTTTAGTGGAAAGTGCAAAAAATCGTGAAGTAATTGAAGAACTCTGAGTCTGAACCAGTTGTTATTCGTACTTTTCACCTTCGGACCATCAAGTCTGAGGAGACCTGTGACCCCAGCTATCAGCAGACTAATCAGTGGACCCCCAGCTATTCACAGCTTAGTATTCATAGAAAATCTGCCTGCAGACACTGGACAGAGTCCAACACTGGACCAACACACAGTCCGTGTCACTGATGAATGAAGGTAGATGGAGGGCGGGCTACCTGCCGTTGGGAAGCGGCCCCTGCTCTCGGCTCCAGGCCACAGTAGGAGGAGGGTCCCCTCTAGCCTGGCAGTAGAAGTGGGCCGACTCTCCCGTTCTTACCGAAACGTTCTCTGGCTTCAGCACCAACACAGGCTTACCTGCGGTAGATGATGACAGAAGAAACTCAGTGGATTGCTTTAAGTGCTACAGCAAAATCCCAGTCAGTGTAAATATGTCACAAGTTTGTTTGGAGAGAGAGGTATTTTTTTTCCCCCATTGGTGGGTTAGAAAGAAACCCAAATCAAGAAAAAAAAAGGTAGTGCTTAACAACATCATCCAAAGTGCTGAAATCATCTCTCATCGACCGATGAAAATTGTGTCATTTGGTTCGCAGAGAGGCAGCCGCCTGCCGAACTCGACACGAGGCTTCAACAGAACTCTATGCAAAGTGTTGTGCGATTGGTCAGAAGTTTGTTGCAGCGTTTTAATGCGGAAATGCACTCGGACAGCAGTGTTGATATTTCTCTTCAACTATCCGGTTTCCTATCCCTCTAAAGATGTTTACATATCTGCACGCATTGTGCAACTAATGTACATTTGCATAATTTATCGCTAAATAACTCCTGTAAAACTAAGACTGGGAAATGGTGAATAACCCCTGGATGGAAATTGTAGTGTCACTGTTCACTGAGGCTGTCTGAGGCTATAAAACGTTTTCCATGACCATGGCGTGACGAATACCGAAGCGGGGAGGGGGTGTCCGCCAGTGGTCTGCCCTGTCGTATGAAAGGTGTGCACAAATATGAGAGCTGTTCTGCTTCAGATGAAGCCTGTCGGGGGGCCTTTGGTCTGCTTGTTCTCATCTGCTCTCACCCAGCACAGAGATCCGAGCCGCCCTGCTCTGCCTCTCTCCCATGATGTTCCGGGCCACACACACGTAGGAGCCAGAGTGGCTCTTCTCTGCAGGCGCGATGATCAGCTTCCCACTCAGCTTCTGCAGAGCAAAGCAAAGCAGCGCAGATCAACTAGCTGCAGCATCTGTGGAACATTTTATTTCAACCATCGAGCAATGAGTACATGGGACTGCTTTTACAGATTATAATCTATTTGCTTTTTCTGTGCGAGGATTAGTCAAATCATCGATTACGACTCTGCATTGGAATCATGAACCTCAGGATGAAGACATATTCACGTGTTTCCATAATCAAAGCAGCTGCTTACGGTGTAGTGGTGGTCCGTGTTGCTGATGGGGACGCCGTCCTTCTTCCAGATGACGTTGGGTTCTGGATGTCCCATCGGCGGACCGCAGTATAAAACAGCCACCTCGCCCTCTGCCACCTCGGCGTCGCCGGGCTGGACGCTGAACTCCTCCTTCAGAACTGCAGGAACACAGAGACACATTCACACTGAGCCGGATCAGAACGACGGGCTTCGCTCTGATCCTAAAACTCTGTCAGGGAACTAACAGTCTAATGGACGTCACATGGTTTGTGGAGAAATAAAATTTGCGGTAGACTTATAGTGGAAAAATCAGTGATTAATGACATGAAGTTTCTGGTGTCTAACACCGTTATACTGCCTGTCACGAATGACTGAAAGTTGATTATTGTTATAAAAGTCCAGTAAAGAACAAAAATATGTCATGATTTACTTAAATCCTAAGATATGTCATACCTTTTTTTCTGTACTATAGTGCATTCCAGTCAATACACCATTTTGTTGTGGCTTATGTGATAAATTTTATCTTCTAAAAATTGTCCTTTTCAAAATGTAAGACTTTAAGGTCCATTTTAGACACATACGGGCAAATACTTCATGTAATTTGGGTTGATTTTCACATTATTTCAGTATCGATGTACCATACTGAGGCAGTGAAATTCTGAGCTCAGTATGATTCTCTTGGTATTTCAACATAAGGAGTCAAAATCATTTTGTAAACAATCTATATTCTTCTTATCTAAAGATAATATTTAGAGCTGCAGCTAAGACCCCTGTGCGTCCCCCTAGACCATCTCACCTGCAATATACAGCGAGGCATTGCGGCTGGTTGCCTTGCCGGCGCTGTTCGTGGCGACGCAGGCGTAGACGCCCTCGTGGGTCTGGCCACGCCTGCCCCCTCCCACATTTAGAAAGAACAGGCTCCCCTCGGACAGAACCATGGGGACCGCCCGGCCGTCTCCCTTGTCCGTCCCCAGGGGCTGACCGTTGCGCAGCCACTCGATGGTCGGCTTGGGGCTGCCGTCCACGCGGCAGGACAGAGTGGCAGGGCTGCCCGCCTTCACCACCACATCAGAGGGGTGGTGGACTATACGTGGTTCTGTCTCCTCCGTCCGGACTCTGCTACCTGCAGATGGGACCAGATGATTGTGAAAGTATTATTCATTTCAACAAGTAAAAATATATATTTTATTTATATGTGAAACCTGGATGAGAAGCAACCCCCGACTAAAATTCAAGAAAGTTACTCATTTGGCACGCCGGCTACAGGTGGGTGATGGAGATGGGGGGAGGGAGGGCTTTTTATTTTTAATTATATTTAAATTATTACCGACCAATTAAATCTTCCTAGGTGCATCACAAAGTATCCGTCTTTCGAATTTACAAACTGGGCGCCGTTTCAATATAGGCACACATGCACGTTTCTTTCTAACAATAACTGCTTTATTTGCATAATTAAAATAATGCATGTTTAGTTTATTGTTAAGCAGGTATAAAGCAAACCAAAGGAAAGCATGGATTTAAAAAAAAAAAATAAATATTAATTTGTGACCTGCGAGGACTTTCTGCTTGATGATTTTGACAAAAAGTTTGGACAGCATTGACTTAAAAGCTGAATCTATGCCACGGAAACCTACTGAGTGAAATGGTTAGTAACATCATATGCTAACCAGGGATACTGCACATCTCTGAGTTCATGGTTCACAATAAGAAAATATCTCCAGTTAACACATTCAAAACCCTGCTACTCCCAAACAATGGCTATTTGTAGCCGGCGCCAGTGGAATGCCATTGTCGGGACTTCCCATGAAGTCGGATGACCACACTGGAGGAAACAGGAAGATTGTGGTAGGCTTCCTGACATGAGAGGAAACCGGAAACCAGCAGGTCTCAGGAACATCAAGTCAAACAAAATGCACCGCAGAACTCTGAAGAAAACAAAGAATATTTTGGATCCGTTTTCACGAGACTCGTACAGTTTTTCTTTTTCCATCTCATTGCACCCGATACAGTAGAAGCATTTCCACTTCCTTTACGATTTACAACATGAGCGAGAAATGCGTGTAAATTCCAGAACACCAGCATATTTGATAAGCAGGACTCTGAAGATATTGCGAATGCTAGTCTTAAACAGGAAGTGAATGTGTCAACCAAATGAACAGATCTCATTATTTTAGAGTAGCCCAAAAATAAATTAAAATACCAATGTTTCCTCAGTGGTCAGTGGAAGAAGATTGGAACCAGCAGGGTACATCTTATTTTAATCAATAAATTCACAACACTACAATATCTATCTACTGCAAATAGGTGAACTATTACTGACTTTAAACTTTAAAAAAGAAATAATAATAAAAACAAACCATTCTTTCAACAGATGGCTCCCTAAACCTAGTGCTGATTAGGTGCCCCACATAATTTTGGAACAGCTCTGGAAAACCTGAGAGAATCTGAGGGAAGTAAATTGAGGCTCTTTTAAAGTATGATGCTATGAGTTATCGTTTCATCAAAATACATCTGAATAATTCACCCAACTGGTGGAATCACACAGACACGCGAAGCTGGGGGGGGAGGGAATATATATATATATATATATATATATAATTTTAGAGAAAAATGATTGTTGTGAACTTACCGGAGACCAGGGACCCAAACAGCGCAGCCAATAGACATGTTCTAACCCTCCGGCTCATCTTTAGGGGAGTTAACATTATTAATATCAGCTAAGATTCTTTAGCTGAACGCTGAGGTCTGACTGGAATTTGACTCGTCGGTCTGTCAATTGTCTTCTTTTAAATTTACGGACGAACTCTCCCTCTAACTTGCCGCTCCTTGAGAGAAATGAGCGTCAAACTAAACAATCTGTTAAACAGGCTGACAACACGCAGCTAATAACTTCCTGTTCGCCTCCGTTTCAAAATAAAAGAAACCAGTCAGCGTAGTTTACAGCTAAAAAATAATAAATTGCTTAAAACTTGTAACCTTTGTGTGGTTATATCACACGGAACTGTCGACAAATTGAGACAATTAACCCCGTTTATCTTTTCATTGTCCCAACGAGTCCTGATTTTGAAAACAGAGAAATAAATGCGCAAGTTCCACTGGGATGAATGTCAGCTTTACAACCTTAATGTATTCCTTTCTGTTTTGATCGTGTACCTCCCAAGATTGAAATTAAAGTGTAAAAATATTCAAACTAGCCAAGACAAATTCGCGGAGATGTTACAGAGATCATTCTGAAGGGACATTCATAAAGTTAAACAAGCTCTTTAGTATTTCTGTAACAGTAACAGTTTTTTTTCTTTTTTTTTGTCTGATATTATATTTGCTGGATCACAGCAGCAACAATAAACAAATCAAAGTCCACAAAGGCTTTTTTGTTTTTGGTCTGATTTTTAACTGTGAAATCACAACAGATTCAGTCTCACTATTACTTTAATATGTAATTTCATCACAGCCACATAATGAAAACTTGAGCAGCAGATGTGTCCTGGCGCCGTGAACTCTCTGCTGTTGTTTGGCTTGTTTTTGCAGGAGCAGCTCTGTCACCATCACCGCATGAAGCAGGGCGTTCTTGGCCTGTTTGTTTCCCAACAATAGAAGGAAACGGCGCATCTCTCAGCCTGCTGCATGTCAGCCATTATGTCAGCACTTTATGTCGGAGTTCATCTGGTTTGTTTGCATTTCACGTTTTCCTGTCTGTTACTTTTAAATTTTATGCCAGCTCTTTTGAAACTGTTATGCACAAATGTGTATGTTTTCATGATTTTGTGTGCTGTTTGAATTTTTGGCCCTGGCTCTGCCTCTAATGCCTCATTGTAAGGATTAACCCTTACTGTAGTAATGCTGCTATAGATTTAGGCTGCTGGAGGACAAACTGAATACTTTTTCTCACTTTCTTCTTCTACTATTTTCCAATTTACATTATTTGTTGTTATTCCAACCCTTAACGTCATGTTTTCTCTCAGTTGTTTTCTCTCCATGGACGCTACACCTGGTCTATTTTTCTCCTTCCTCGGGGAGAGCATCGATTGAGATGACGCTGCCGACGATTAAACCTTCTCCCTCTCCTGTTATGAACAGTTTATTTTTCATTAACACAGAAATGAATTCTGCATCAGTTCTTCAATTTATTTTTCGTGTCTCTGTTCTGCCTTCTCAAACCCCCCAGTCGGTCGTGGTGGATGGCCGCTCGTACCAAGCCGGGTTCTGGTTCTGCTACAGGTTTCTTCCTGTAAATGGCGAGTTTTTCCTCTCCACTGTTGCAAAATTCCTTGGTGCAAACTGCTTAGATGTAAACTTTTTAAGCTAATTTTAATATTGAACTGAGCTTAATGCATTGTTTGATAATTAGGAACAATTGGAATGCATCTGTGATTGGACTGAAATGACTTTTTTTGTAAAGTGCCATGAGACTAAATTGGTTGTGAAGTGGAGCTATATAACTAAGCTGAATTGAACTGAGGAGAAGGAAAATAATACAATGGAGGATGAGCACATGAAAACTTGAAAGGTGTGATGTGCATGTTCTAAACCTCAATGTTTGTTGACACTGCAGGTATTCTGAGATATGTCTCTGTGTAACATGTCAGTTTTGATCTGAATCAATCCAAAAATGAAAATTCTCATTGCTTTCTTTCAATAATAGTAGATCATTGACCAATTATTTATCTTTTTTTGTTGCTTTTATACATGTAAAAGCAACAGTTCTTGACTTTTCCCACGTGAAACATTTAAAGCTATGCATCAATTCCCTTTCACTTCACAATTATATCCAACTTTGCGTTGGTTTGCCGCCTGCATTCCAATAAAACTCAAATTACAAACACAAAATAATGCTAATGCTAACAACGCAAAAAAAAAAAAAGTTTGATGAGTCTAGATACAACCGTAGCGTATGTGGCACAAACGTAATGTTCCTCCTGATAAATAAAAACTTCCAGGATGACCCAGGAATAAGTGAACTACCACTAGTTCATTCCCTCGAATGGCCCACACAAACAAAGCATTGTGTGGTGAACTGTTCATTGTGAGGCTTAGAAAGGACCGAGGCTAAGTGATGGATGTTTATATTGATCCAACAACGTGGGCTTGATGGCCTCGGCATCAGCCAGCTTTCAGTCGACAACAAAAGCTTTAGAACGGATGAGGGATGAATCCCGCCTTCCAAAACACAACCCATGGGAATGTTGTGAGGCCGAGATTTGCTGAAGGAAGGGCTCCTTTCTAAGCTGTTGACCAAGAGGTCAGGGGAAGTATAGCAAATGAGTGAAAGACGGGGAATTGGGGTACGAAAGAGAAAGAATGTGTCAGCTGTAGTGGAGAGTGTGATGAACAGTGACTCCACAGTGAATTCTTCACGTATGTCCATTGAGATCTGTAAAGAATTCGACAAGATGAATACTGCTCTAAGCAAGTCAACGTAAACATGTGCGGTGCTTTAACTTCTGTGAATTGAAGAAGATGAAGCCTGAGTGTGAAAACAAAAAAGAGGCTCTTCAAAGACATTGAATATCTTTTAATTAAGTTCTAGCGGATATTTCAACAACATTCACTGTAAAATACGTACTGCAATGTGTTGTTTTAAGTCCACGCTTGATTGCTGCCCGACCTGGAATGAAGAAATGACTTTAACAGCATCTGTCTGACATCGTGGCAAAAGATCTAAAAAAGAAACGACATTCATTGGGACCTGATCCAAAGAAATGTAAGGAAGTGGTTGGCATTTATCAGCCTGGAAAGGGAAACAAAGACACTTCCTTTGGACTCCAGCTAATCACAGTGAGACCCATTATCCACAAATGGAGGAATCGTGGAACTTCCCTGTAGTGGCTGGCCCACCAAAGACTCATCCAGGAGGCAACAAAAGAGCCCAAAGCAACTTCTAAAGCACTGTAGGCCTCACTTGTCTCAATCCTGTGCTGCTTTGCCCCTTTAGAATCTTGATGACATCCATGAGTTTCGCCTCTTACTGAAATCCTGAAGATGAAAATGTCCGACCATATCTTTGTGACCTTAAGCCATAGTATACTTTGGTTACAAAGTCTGGATTTGAGTCCAATCGAGATGCTGTGGCATGACCTTAAACAGGCTATTTATGATGGAAAACCCTCCAATGGAGCTAAATTAAGACAATTCTGCATAAAAGAACATAAAAACAAGACTAAATCCTCTGCACCGATGGGAGGATTCTTTACCGAAATTTCATTGACAGTTACCACAAACTCTTGGTGGCAGACGTTGCTGGAACAGGACGGCCCAACCAGTTTTCAGGTTCAGACAGTAGTTACGTTTTCACACGTGGTCAGGTCAGGTTGCCTTGATGTAATTTGTTTATCTTCATAAGTTAAATCTTGTTTTAATCTTGTATTTTCCCAGGTTATTGTTGTCTGTAATGATGGCGTTTGAAAAATTTCAATGTGAAAAAAGACTAAAGAAAAGCGGAAGAAGACTGTTAAAGACTAATGCATTTTACAATTATGTTCATATTGCAATTTCTAAAGATAATTTTTCATAAAAATTGAGATTACAGAGAAAATCGAAACTGATGAAACAACTGATGAAGAATTTTTTTTTGTAAACATATCAGGAATATTCCCCCAGTGAATTCTGTCAGTTTTATCTAGTGACATGTTTATTCTGAAAGAAACTGTTTTGGAAACTGTTTTGATCCCTTTACTTCTTGATTAAAAGAAACATTCAAAATATCACGTTCCTGAGGACAAATCAAACCAAAGTTAACAATGTTAATCAATGTTAATCTCCTACTGACTAATTCACCAGGCGTGTTTCCTGAGCCGTACCTTTTCTTCGGTGTGGCTTGTTTCTGTGAGGTGTGTCCGGTTGCCCCATGCCGTGACGAATATGCTCTTTGAGCGGGTTCTTGAAGCTCCTGTCCAGCAGTTCTGGTTCCATTAGACATACGCTGTGGTGGAACTTACACTGCTGTGAGATCCCGGCACAGGTGTGGAAGCAGAACACGCAAAGAAGCCACCCACGGACGAGCATCTTCACCGCAAGACTCACACTCACACTTAGACTGATCGTTTTAACCCTCAACCTGTCCCCGAAAGCTAAATGTCCAGACACCGGATCCCGCTCTTCATTTCCCTCAGCTCCTTTTCCTCCTCATGTTAGTCTAGATGTTCCATTAATCCCAGTCTCCCTCCTCTGTGGGTTTCTTTTTTTTTTTTTCTCTCCAGGGAAGAGCAAAGTTAAAGGGAGGAGGGCCAAATCGTGATCAAACACAAGTTTCAGACCTCATGCTGAGAGGGAGAGAGGGGTGAGGGGGAGCACCATTCATCTGGCCAGATGAGACTTCTAGTTGGATTGATTTAAGGGAAAGAGAGAGGAGGATATATCTCCAAAAATCATATCAGCAGGAGAAATGCTTTTAAGCAAAACAGATGTTTAGATTAGCTCATTTTAAAAATAATAATAAAAAAAAAAATTCACGAAAGCCAAACGAAAATGCAGAATAACCCATTTGCAGTTATTCCAGGCATTTAATCTGATCAAAGGCAAGACAAAACGGACGCACATTTTTGAACATAAGCATCTTCGAGAAATGAACCTCGAAGAAGACAAAACGGGTACAACAGTTTCTTTGCTCTCTTTTGACAGCTGACCCCCCACCCCTCCCTCCTGCCTTCACCCCCTACCAACCCAGCCTCCCACCAGTCAACTAGCCAGGCAAATTTGTAGCTGCCTGTCTGAGCAGTATGAGTCTCATGCATCATCTTGGCTCGCCTGCAACAATCAAACAAAAGTACCAAGTCGGCCACGTCTGGATGGTCTTTCCTCAATTCAAATGCAATCAGTTTGTGTGGTTTGCGTGGCCGTCCTGGGAGGAAGCAGATCCCACTTCTAAGTGGTTGTACAACACATCCACCTGCAAACAATATTAGATGGATGTCAAAACGAAGGTGGTGCAGAAAAGTCGAAGCCGCAGTGAATTTTCTCTGCACATAATTCAACTCGCAAACATCCGTCTCCTGTCAGATTGTGAATCGAAGGAAGCTGCTCTGTGCCGAACTTACTGAAATTCTTTCCTCAGTGAATGAATTTAACAATGACTTAAACATAAAAGCTGTGCTTACAAAATTGAAATTGAAATGTAAGGACATTTGTTTTAATAACATGTTGCTGAAAACCATTTCCAAGCAGACTAGACAGCTGCACCTAAAGTAACACCAATGCATCAATAATAAACCAAAACATGAGCCACATGATCTCTGAGAGTGATGTAGGACTGCATCGGTAGTCTTGGATTATTTTCTTCCATTGAATTATGTAAAAAAAATTTTGACTGAAACAATAAAAGACCTGAATTTCACAACCTTTGCAGCTGCAACTTTCAGACGACGTTCAGAGATTACTTTACCAGTTAAAGTACGTCATATCTTTGCTGGTTATTTTTGCTCAAGTTTGTAATCTTAGCCTTTATTTTCTTCATGTGACGTTTAGTTTGTTTTTATTTGTTCTTTTCACGTGCTTCTTGCTTTAATGTGGATCTTTGTTCCTTCATTTTCACATGAAGCACTTTGGTGTTGCTCACATTAGCATTTCGTGATGGTAATGGGCAGATGACTCGTCGTCTTCATCCATTACTCTGGTCCAGTTTTACTCATTGCTGGTCATCTGGTCAATGGATAAAGGTCAGCATGAGAACCCTGACCGGTCTGGTGCCAGGCAGCTTCATACTCAACAAAATGTGATGAACTGCCAATTGTTGCTCCTTTGTCAGACCCTACAATTCAGTTAAGGTTAGGGTTACCACAGTATAATGTTAATTTAAAACATAAATTATTTTAAATTTAATGAAATTTTAAATAGCTTATTTTAAATTCCACTGTGCATATGGACAGTTAAACTAATTTCCAATTAACAGGAAACCATTATTTTACCATCACCTCTCATACATAAAAACACACAGCGACTCAAGACTGCATTTTCTATTGTATCCCTTAATTAGAATGTTAATCTGGCCTTTGAGCTGTGTATCTATTGCCTTTTTAATCCCGGTGTATATTGAGTCATACACTCAGCACTGTCATATAAAAACCCCTCAGAGGGTCGTTCTCTGGCTCTCAATGGGAGATCGTGTCTGAGCAGCAATGGGGCCATTAGAGGGCAACCTCACCCCCCTCTGAGCCTTCATCATGCCCCACTGAGACCCGTTAGAGTTATTTTTTTTTTTTTACCCTCCTGAGAGAAAACAACACCAAGAGCTCAAGCGCTCTAAAAATAGCTTCCTTCATTGCACATAAAAACCCTGAGAAAAAAAATAAAAAAATAATAATAATAATAATCTGTTGCCATAACATAAAGCTTTAGTCCATCATGGTGTTTTCTTCCTCTGCTAAACTCTTAATAAAATCTGATTTCGTGTTACGTTCCTACTTTTACAGCCGCCACACGGAGCACCAATCAGATTTTATTTACCAAACTCTGCGAAAGGATTGCAGACATTACCATCTGCTTGATTTAGCGCCAACGGAACGACGTTCTTCAGGGACAAGAGCGCACATTTTGTCTGAAATTTACTGACGGATATTCTCTGGGTTTTCGGAGTCTCGCGGGGCGGTGACAGTAACCGTATCCCAAACAGAGGGCGAGAGGCCTGAATATGTGAACCGCGAGCCAGGAGTTCTGCTTGAATGCGTCTGAATGGCGGCTCTGGCCCGGTGGGAACGCAACCCGTCCCCTCTGTGGTCCCAACATTAAGCACCCGGAGCTTGTTGCTCACACCTCTTTGGCTTTGCATTGCTTTCTCTTTCACCATAACACGTTTTCTCTTTTTTTTTTTCACC